GAACTGAAGCGTCCTTCATGCCTCCTTTCCATATCCTGAACAAAGCTGATTCTGCTCCCCCAGCAATAAGACCAGGATGAGTAAAGGATATGGCTCACCACTTGTTCCTCACAAAAGTGCACACCCATCTAACCTCCTTTTCATTAGCAAACACATGCCCAGCAAAGCCTACCTGTCCCAGGCTCTCCTCCAAATTGTGGATGGTGTGCAAACTTTGCTGCTCCTCAGGGTCTAATTGTGGCAGAGACCCCATGCACAGGTAGTCATTTCTCATTCTACACCTGGCCACACTCATGGTCTGGTGCTGTGAAGGCTCAAGGAACAGCTTTGTCCTTGGAGGAGCTGCCAAAGCTCCAGGTTGTTCAAGCTGCCAAGAAGGTCTACCAACTTTCTTCTTTGGAGCCATTCTTTTTTCTTATTCGCAGTTAGAAAGCAATAGCGAAGCTGGTCTGTTTAAAGTGAAAAGTAGATCCAAAATTCCAGGAAAAGGAGCAAAACACCACAGCTAGCCACAATGTCAGCCATCTCAGAACAACCGAGCCAGGAAGGTGGAAAAAACATTGTTTGGTAGCAGCCGCCGCCGCTCTCCTCTACATTTTTTCTGTAAGTCATTTATCGAAACAGGAAGTACCCAACCCCCTCCTTGTCCCTGTGAAATGGCTCTAGTTGATTCTTTGGGTTTCTGTGCATTTTGGTGGTGGGGCGGGGGGAGGTGGCTGAGCCATCTCATTCTTGTCAGTTGGAAACCAATATCCCAAAGCAGCAAGCATGAGGCAAGATTTCTGGCAGCGAAGCGCTAACCTGCTCAAGAGGAAATGCTCCATTATGTCACGCAAACTAAGTTTTTCCTATAAAGACCACCATGCAGAGTTGAAAAACAACATCTGCGTTCCACCCACCAGCTTGCAAAGGGCATGATGAAATAGTTTGGCTTCTTTAGAACAATGAATAACGACTGTCTTAAAAGTCAAATTGTCAGGTTTGATCATGAATTCTATCTCCTTCTCCAGAAAGCATTACTAGCAAATGCTTTTGTAAATTTTGATAAGTAGAAAAATAAACAAACAACCCTTTAAAATGGGCAAAGACAGGCAGGATATGCCAGCAAGCAGGCTGTGAATCACACTTAAGACAGTGAAAGGAGTCTCACTTGTCCCCACTGATTGAGGTAGTTGATGTCTAATTAGCAAACTCTGAACATGTCAGGAGTGATCAAAGCAGCCTAAACTGCAACTACTAATATTATTTTAAGATGGGCCTGCATGAAATGAGCCTCAGGCGGCAAAGTACAACCATCCACCCACATACTGTGGCCTTCCAAGCATTCGGCAACCTCTTCTCCATCTCAGTTTTTGCAATTGTGAGCAGGCAGCAAAATCAGGAGGAGTGAGTGAGATGTGAGGGTGACTTATTTGGACTGCTGGATCATGACTGAAGCAGGCCTGCTTTGGGGGCAGGCATCGTCAGGAATAATTTTCCGTCTCCCAGGCCACAAAAAGCCACATCTGGCTTTGTTCAGAAGCCAGAGCTCAGGTATGCTAAACTTTATATTCCACTGTATTTGAGGCAATTCCAAACCAGCCAGCAACAGGGTGGAGCTCACAACACAGCACCCATCCGAATGAATCCCCAATTGCTATTTCTTCTTACAATCTGTTTTCCCCCTTTCCATTCCTTTCCGTTCCTTTCCTTGGGACAAGATGTCTCTTTATTACATCCATGTGCTAGCCCTATTCATTTTTGTTCCAGGAATCTTGGAAATTAGGAACCGCAGCACAGCAAAAAATAATGTTTGGGGGAGAATAAGGATGTGTTTGTAAACAGCTGGTTGCATGCTATATGGGAGGGAAGTCTGAGAAAATCAAGAGCATTTCTGAAGTGTACAATGCCACCCAACCCTGCCTGACCATGTGCTCGCTTCAGGTTTGCTTCCGTGTCTGAACCCAGCATCTTCACACTGCCCATCCACTTCCCAACTGTTACAGCCAAAAAGGGCAGCCCTCTAGGACAGAAAGACCAGCCAGGGCTGGAATGCCAATCAGTAAGCCTGCAACTGTCTTGAGAAGCCATGAACGGCTGGCCGTTATCAGAGCAGCTTCCCCCTGAACATGCTTGATTGTGGGAGAAACACATTCCAGCAGAGACAGACAGGGAGGAGAGAAAGCATGTGAAGTCAGAGAGGTCTCATAAAGCTAGGCACACTAAGGCATTTTGGAAGAACCCGGCTCAAGGTGTGAGGCATCCAACTGCTACCGCCTTGACATATTGGCTTCGCACTGTGGGTGGATATTGACACTGTCACTGGTGATGCTCCCCATGCCTGGAACCACCAAACCAACGGGGACAGATTTGACGGCACCTATTGTTCCATTTCAGTAGTGCCAATAGAAACAATACTCCGGAAGCATCGTGCCATTAAAAGCAGAGGCAGACGCTGTGCTTCACAGTGGGAACCACCGCTGGAAAAGGTCTGCTTTAATTGCATGGGGTGGAGGAAGCAGCTCAGCTTCCAAACCTGGGCAGAATCAGGCACAACACGGGAGCAATGCAGAAGCTCCTGTTACGACTGAGTGCTGATCGTTCTACCTGCCTGCTTTCTCCACCACATGGCCAACTGGGTAACCTTCTCCCATATCCACCTTAGTTGCTTTCTCCCCAGAACTAAAAGCCTCCAAGCTGGAACACATTTATCATTTTGCTTGTCCTCTGCATCTTTCCTATCTCTATAATGACCTTTCTTGAGGCGAGACACTCAGGACGTTACATCATTCCAAATATGGCCATGCCATAATTTCCGATCAAATCAACTGTGATAACACTGTATTTCTGGATTTATTTTTAGTCCCTTTCCTAATAATTCTCAGCATGGTATCAACCTTGCTCATAGCCTTTGTAAATAATTTCATAATATGTACTTTTGGCCTGAATTATGGAATGGGTACTTATTTTCCTTCAGTTAAGTCATGTATGAAGGTATTTGTTTTTAAATATGTGCCTTATTTTTTTAAGTGTGATAACTCTTGTGGTAAACCGTCCCGAGATGCTAATAATGGGATGGTCTATAAAAGCTTTAAATAACTAAATAAAATAAATAAACTCACCCATGCAGGTTATCAAATTTCAAAGGGATGGTGCTTTGGTGTGTAGAATTTATCTTGGGCTGGATTTAACATTAGGGATAGTAATGCAAATGGACATTTTCCTTCTCCTAGAAAAAGCCATTCTAGGCAGTTTAGAGTGGAGAAGCAGCAAGAAGACAAGAAGGCTTAACTTTTGCAATGGCCCACATATATTTGGAAAACTGAAAAGCAACTGGGAGCAATGATTTGGAGCAGAAGTGGGGGAGGACAAATTTCAAGGGTCTGGACTGGACCAGGGTACTGGCGGACAATGACTTCTTAAAAGATTAGCCACATCTATGAAACCTTCAAAAAAAGGCTAAATGCCCACCATGCTAGAAAATGCACAACTTACTATTTAACAATACAATTTATTACTGATTTGCAATAAAATCAGTTCAAGGAACAAGGACAGTGAGTTCCCCCAGTGCAGTGTCTGAGAAACCAGTTTCTCCAGGAGTTCAGACTCGGTCATGAAAATCGGGACGCTGGCATCCAGGTGAGTGGCTTCAGGGATTCGCAGCAGCATCCTGTGCAGGGCACCTGAGGGCCAGTGAATGCCTGTCCTCCCATGAGGGTGCCCTCCAGAATTAGAGGAAGTGCTTTCAGAGCATGCTTTTGTATTAAAATCCACACGTGTGCGCATAACCTTCCTCACAGGTCAGCTAAGCAAATCCCATAATCCCTCCTGCAGAGTCAGAACCACTTGGGAATTGTGTGCATGTGTTCTCATATTCACACACCCACAGGGGTTCTTGTTCTCCATGAAAGAGTTAAAGTGTGCCTGGAATAACCATTCATTTATGTATTTAAAACTCTTCTATCCTGTCATTATTGAAATGGATCTCAAGACAGCTTACAAATCAGAAACGTAACAGCACGTTAAAATCCTACTCTAGGCTGCAGATCAGTTTAAGGGAAGGAATACGCCTTGGGTTTTTTTTTTTTTTTTTTTTTTGAAGGATACAGAACAGATATGTAATAAGAAGTCTCACTGGAGAAGACAATCATGCTGGGAAAAGTTGAAGGCAGGAGAAGAAAAGGAAGACCAAATAAGAGATGGATTGACACCATAAAGGAAGCCAAAAGCTTGAGTGTAGAATGCCTAAACAGCTGTCATGGGTCGGCCATTTTGGAGATCTTTCATTCATAGGGTTGCCCTAAGTCAGAAGGACTTGGCAGCACAAAACAACAACAACAAGAACAAATAGACACGGACAGAATTCTATAACATATGACAAAGCCATCCAAAAGGCTAGGAATTGATGCCTACTCCAAACAGTTCCCACTCTTCGCAGGATTGTGGGTAGAGACTTTCCAGGGTAAATACATAAAGAACAATTGGGAAGGCACATGCAGTGAACATGCACTGGGGAACCATGGCTAGTGACAAACACGTGTGCCCAGAGACCAGTGCCTGTCCATCGCTTGCCTAAGAGCAATATCCCCCTCAGGCTTTACATTCTTTTGGCAGTCAAACACTAGCAGAGTGGAGTGAACGAAAGCAGATCAAATCTCCACCAAATAATGAAAGTGACCACATGACCTCGAGCCAGCTGGCCACTATCCCAACTTACTGAGCTAGGGGAAGACCTTTCCAATACCCTGAGCTCCTGGGAAGAAGACCAGAACATGAAATGAGCGTGGCTCTTAAAAGAGGCAGCGTAAAAGGGCACATTAACTAGAACATGACATGGAAATATGAGGGGACCCTCCCCTTAAGAACTAAGCTGTAGAGGCCACCTGAATCTATGTTCATAAATGGATTTTCCATCTACTGGTCAGCAAAACAGGGTTTGACGCAATGGGTGTGCCACGGAGGGCACAGTCTGACAGGCCATGCTGTGGGTGCCCCGACCTATTTGCTTTTTGTTGGCTTACCTGCTTTATGCACTGCAGCCGATCGTTGGTCTGCTGTATGTGCCTGTCCATAGAATTCATTTTGATTGTCTCCACTTGGATTCTACCTGAAAGCCATTAAAATCCCTCAAGCTGCAAGATATAAGAAGAAGAAGATCAGTCATTAAGAGGGAAAGAAATCACATGCAGTCCTACAGATGAATGAGGTTCTGGATGCTATTCTGCAAATGTTTATCATTACGGAACCATGACATGGTAAAGTCCCATAATGCTGGGGAGTCATTCAGGGGATTCCTTGCCAAGCTTGCCATGTGTTTCCCCCTAAGTCAGAGGCTGAACCTTTATGTCATTGTACTTCACAGTTGATTCTTCCTCTTTTCTTCCTCCCTTCTCCTCCATTTTGGTGGCTCACAGGGAAGAAAAGAAAGAGGCCAGCTGGTTACTTTACTGGACAGGTGACAAAAGCCAGAGTGCCTGGTATGGGTGGGTGCACCAAATGTGTAATCTGTGCACAATGTATGGAAAACTTCTGTCACAAAGCTGCATTGACTCAATACGTGAAACTTGTTTTTGAACATATCCACCTACACACATGAGGTTCCTATATCAAATGAGGCCTAAACTTAGTTTGGGCATAACGTGCATGGAAAGAAAAGTGTCAAGAGACTTGGAGCACATCCATGTGTTCCAAATTAATCCATTTCCCCATTCTTTTGTGCAGTAAAGGTGGAAGTCTACGTTCATCAGCGCGTATCTGAGTTTTCAGACAATTAGAAGGACTGCTGATATTAACCACATTTCAGACATTCGTATTAACATATATGATGCAATCCTTGGCTAGCAGAACAATAATGAAGGTTTGCTTGCTGATTTTTTTCACAAAAGGATTTTTCCACTGATTCTCTCTTTGTTTTGGATCCAAACTTAATGATGACACAAACACAAGTACATGCTTCCACACAGCTAGGCGGTCAGAGAATAAACTTACAAGTTGCTAAGGGAAGCCATTTGCTGGGTATGCATTTCACATATGTCCGATATAAATTAATAAATGGTTGTGCAGCCAGAGCAACAACAACAATAGTTCTGTACTTTTCCAGGAGCAAGGAGAAACACACTTTTTCCCCCAGATACCAAATGTCAAGTTGCAGGTACAATCCTATGCATGTTTAGACACGAAAATGTTCTAGCTAGCTGGGGAAAGTTAGGAGTTGGAGAACATGCATAAACATGCATGGCCTTGCTCCCTCATATGCTGAATTTTCCACTCTATAATGTGGCCCCATGAGAGCCCCATATAGTTGGGCTTCTAGCCCACACCTGTGCACCCCACCTGGCAGTGGTTTTTTGGCTAGAGGCCCTTTCCATCTTTTAACTGGAGACTCCAGAGTCCGGACCTGAGATGCTATACATGGCAAAGGTCTGCTCTAGCTTCCCCATCGAATGAGTACACGATGTCCATCTCCCATTAAGCCTTTCAATGCACGCTGCATGGAGAGGCTGCAGTGTTATTCCTCAAGCCCTGGAAGGAGGGAGTTTCTGATCTGCTTTGGGATGGTCTGAATTCAGCTACGCCAGTACCAGGTGCTTCCCACCCCCACGCAAGCTGTCTGGGCGTCTCTGTGCCTTACTGATAATGTTTCTTTCACGGCTCCTGATGGATTAGACTGCAGAGAAAGGAATCTCTCTCTGCTGAATGAGAAGTCAGGATGCCAGCTCAAGCATTCATTCCTACACTTCAGGCACAAGAGGGTTTACTAAAGCATTCCTGTCGATGAATTATAATACTTCATGACACAGAAATGCCTGTTGCATATACAGGCGTTATTGTATAACATATACACTGTGTTAACACCAGCTTCTCAAAAGCAGATGCAATCCAAGGACCTTTTGGAAAATGTAAGTTATTTTATTATAAAACTGAGTTCATTCAGAGCGCAGCTGTTTATAAAATCCTCAAACTTTAATCTTTCAACAGAAAGCAGAGGAATTTGCCTGTAAGATAAGCTAACCCAAACATGACACCATTTCTGCAAAGATCCATCTTAAACACCACATTATCTGCATATTAATTGCTTATGGGGATAGGCAATGAAAAATGAAAACAAAGCACATGCTTTGGGAAAATAATATCAATGTTCCCTAGAATATAAGACAATTAAGACAAAATACCTGTTGTTTCAGGTCTGGATTTAACAAACAGGTATACCAGAATATGCAGAACACCCAAGAAGCACCTCTGCTAAGACCTCTAGTAATGCTTTTCCAGTTCTCCCGCTCCCATTAGCTCTATATCCTAAATCTAACTAGATTTTAATATAATTTAATAGAAGTTTTAATACCATTTCAGGGAGTCTCTTCTATCCCTGGCAGATGTAAGCACTCTCAGATTATCAAAAGGACTGAGGCATGTTGCTTCTCTCAACTTGAAGGCTTTTCTTTCTCTCCAGCCCCAGAAAAAGGAATCTGGAGCAGGCATGGGGCATTAGGCAAAAGAACCGCTTCGGCCATCCCTGTGAAAAATGTGGGTGCCTGTTTCGTTGCCTCTTTCAGGTTTTTTTCTTTCACTGTTCTGCTAAATTATTCAGACATCAGCTTAAACTGATCACTAGGTTCTGGTCAAAATGCAACAAGGACTTAGAGAAAGGCTTTTTTCTTCACGGCTACGTCATGCCAAGCTTTGACATTGCCAGCCAACATCATCGGGAAACTTCTTCTGACAGTAGATTATAGGGTTTACAGAGCAGTAGGGTGATTCAACATGCATGAAGAAAATGCCTTGCGGTCATTAGTAGTAATCAAACAGAAAGACTGGGAACAAAAATTACACTGTGCTTTACCTGGCCAGATAGTGGGAAGTAATTTGGAGTCTGCAACACTAGAAATTCAGTTCCTTGTTTGAATTGCAGGTTAGTAATAGCAGTGTCAATGTAAATACCCAAGTCCCCCACTAGAATTATAGGGCTCTGGTTAGATATAACAAATTATGATTACTAAAGTAAATCTCTAACCCACCCAGTCCCTAGAGCTTGGATTTGGTAAAAAAAACAACACACAAAACAATATAACATGCCATATAAAACAAATTTCAAGAATAAGGCATTTAAAACAAAGCACACATATAAATTACCCTAGCACATGCAAGCTAGGCTTGCTATCTTACCAGAAAATGTTCAAGATTTTATTTAGACAAGACCCTAAGTCAGCACCTTGCAAACTTTTGAGAATCACTTTTTAAATTGAAATTGGAGGTGCTTTTCTGTATTATATTCCAAAAGCCCCTTTTATAAATTACAACCTGGGATGCCCAGACTATGTGCCATGCCAAATTAAATTATCTTGATCCACCCGTACCAGGGGCTGGATAATGATGCATGCCTCTCTATATGATGTCTGCCCTGGAAATCCTGGATAACGTCCCCATCCAATCTGAGAAATTGGAAAAAAACCCCACCAAGAGGATGGAGGAGTAAGCTGAGGGGGCGTGAACAAATATGGAATGGGATAGCAGGGTGGGGCAGAGGTTTCCCCTTTACCTCAGTCCAAAAGCCAAGCTTGTAGAAAATCAGGCGCCTGGTAAAGTCCAGTTCTATTTTGGAATTTCTGGGAGGGAAAAAGAAAGAAATAGCTTATGAAGAATTGTAGCCCATTTCACCATTGGGCCGCAATTCTAGTTCTAGATTCCAGAACTAGATTCTAGAATTCTAAAAGCAATTCTAGAATTGTAGTCCATTTCACCATTGGGCTACAATACCAGTTTATTTGCTAGTTTATTTATTGTAAATAAACTAGTCTGGTGACTTTTTCGACTGGGTTCTGGGGTACCACGCATTCCTTGGGAGGGTGGAAAGATCAGCAACAGCAGGCACGGTTCACTGAAGGAAGGTTTAGCCTGTGTTACTTCTACTTCTCTGGAAGGCACAGGCGCATATCACTATTAGGCACCTTCCAGGGTGCCTTCCTCATTTATGAAGGACTAAGACAAGGCCCTGTAATCATGGCTGGTGCCTTACAGGAATTGAAAGGCACCGCACAATTCTCCTCGAGATATTCTCCAATGCTCAGGGGTGCTGTGGCAGATGAGAACAAGCAAAGTGGAAAAGGAGTCCCCGAGGACAAGAAATTTAACATCTGCTGTAAACACTAGTTTACAGGTCTGCATAAATGCTCGGACTCGCTGATGTACGCTACTTACGACAATACACTCCACATTAAAGAATGCTGCAAGTAAACTGGTTCTTTGCTGGTAAGGCAATAATGAGTGGAGAGCAAAAGGCACAGAGGGAGAGCAGAGAGGAGAAACGAGAAGGGAGGTGCAAGATGAGCAGCCAGGAGAGATAACGCATCCTGATTTACACCTAAGTTCAAATTTTGGGCTAGGAAGGCGCTCCAGTGTGTTTTAACCACAGGTAAGATCTGTGCACATGCAATGCTGACGCCTAGTGAGGGGCCGCAGGTAAGCAGGTACTGTGTGTGAGGGGAAACGATCCTCGTTAGCGAGTGGTAACCACTGCAACTCCAGTAGGCCTTGGAGATTTATAAGGAGTAAGGGCTGGGAAAGATGCCTTCTTTGCCAAAGCATTGCCAGTCTATGCCATTGGAATATCTGTAGCATCCGGTAAACATAAGCAAGAAACGACACTGCATTCTGCGCCTGGAAATTCATCAATCAGACAAAACTGAATAATTTGCTCTGTGTCTCTGTATGCTGAGAAGCATTAGCAAGGGCAGACAATTACTATCTATTAAAAAGCTTTGATTAAGTACTGAGCTGGAGCACAAACAGGGTGGGAGGGAACTACTGCTAACTGATCAGTTAAATAATCAGGAAAGAGATAGTTCCAGTTACAGGCTGGAGTTTAATATGGGCATGTACACCATAGTGTTAACACTTCCAGCTGTGAAAAATATTTTTTTCCCATGGTTGCAAGCAAGTTACATGTTACATATATACAAGATTTCCAATATGGGAAATCTGCCTTTTTGTTCTATTGATTTTTAAAAGTGCTTATATGTAAACTGGGTGTTTAAACAGGCATTTTATCCCCAAGATTCTTTGAAGTCTACCCAGAATTCACTAATTTCTCATGATATATACAAACACCATATATGGTTCTCTTCAACACAACATA